CAGGGGTTCCCAATCTTTTTTATACTGCGACTCCCTTTACTGGCTGTAATTTTTTTGCGACGCCCTTCTAAAAGAAGATACCTGCGTGTAGCTCTAGCAGACATTAAAATTACTTCATTATTCAAAGAAAACTCCAAAGAATATAAAATCTTAATAATTATTATTTATTAGAAAACATAATAGTACAATTAATGAGAAGGGTGAGCTTGCTTTTCTGAGCATAACTTCTCAAATCGGGGCTGAAGTTTTGAAATCGCTACTCTCATTTCTTTTTCTAAATTTATTTGTGACCTGTATTTCGACTTGATTACTGCAACTGCAGAAAAGCCAGTTTCACACAAGTACGATGTAGTAAACGGTAAAAGAACCTTCAAAGCTGTAGTACTGATAGCAGGATATTCTTGAGAGACATTGCTCCAAAATTGAAATAGTTTGTCTTTATCAAATCGAAGTTTTAGACTCGTATCACAAGATAGTTCTAATAGCTGTTCTTCCTCGACTGTTGAAAGTGTAGATGGGGTTGGGATCGATTGGAATGGGTCTCTAATCCAGTCGTATTGATTTACATTATTTGGAAAATATGTATCAAAATGGGTGCTTAGTGCTGATAAGTGTTGGATAAATATCAATTGCAAACTTGGCTCCAGATTTTGAATAGATTTTTCCTGCAGAAAGCCATTTAAAACAGGAAAACAGTCAGTATTTCCATGCTCCTCTTCTATTTTTCTTTTCCACAACAGCAACTTTTTTTTAAATGCTGCAATTTTATCAGCCAGTTGCAGTATATGCGTTTCGTTTCCCTGCAGCAATTTATTAAGGACATTTAATTTCTCAAATATGTTGCAAAGATATGCCAGTTTTATTAAGAAGTCAGTATCTTTAAACTTTTCTGCGTCACGATGCGATTCTATCAATAAATACGTGTACAATCCATGTTTTAATTCGTATACACGTGAGAGTACATTACCTCTCGACAACCAACGAGAGTTACAGTAATAAAGTAAAGATGTATGCTCGGCACCCAAATCTTCACAAAGCTTTCAGAAAAATCTTGCCTTCACGGGTCTTGTTTTTGTAAAGTTTACCACTTTAATAATTATATTGATCACAAAATTTAATTCAGGTGAAATATTTTTTGTAGCCAGGGCCTCTCTATGTATGATGCAATGTGTCCATTTTGCATTTGGTGCCTTGGTTTTAATGAGAGCTTGAAGTCCTCCATATTGCCCTGACATCGCGCGAGCTCCATCTGTACGCACACCAACACAGTTCTCCCATTGAATGTTATTTTCTTTCATGTATGAAACTATGATCGCAAACAAATCACTAGCCTTCCCGGCATCAGTCATTTCTTTGCAAAATAACAAATCCTCACATACATTTGCTCCTTCCATGTACCGCATGTAACATATTAATTGAGCGTCATTATTACTGTCTGTTGCTTCATCCAGTTGAATGGCAAATAAACCAGAAAGTTTTTCCACAATTTGCTCATTAATGTCTTCAGCTATGTCATGAATGCGACGACTAATTGTATTGTTAGAAAGAGGAATATTTTTTATTTCTTTTGCCGCCGATTCTCCAATCATCACTGATACCATATCAATCGCTGCAGGTAAAATAAGATCTTCAGCAATCGTGTGTGGTTTCTTGCACTTGGCAATACGGTGAGCGACCTTATAAGAGGCGAGCAGTGCTTTGGAGGGAATAGATGCTCTGGAAAACAAGGATGTCGATTGATGTTTCAGTTCTCGCAATTTTCTTGCAAAAAAATCTCGCGGTTTTCCTTGTAAATTACTGTAAATTGTTTCTAAATGATTTTTCAATTTATTAGGAAGCATACTTTCAGCTGCCAGCACCTTATGACAAACAACACATTGGGGTAGTTCCACATTTCCTTTGCTAACGTAAGTAAATCCAAAATCTAAATATTGGTCATCATATTTTCTGTACTTTTTTCGTTTTTCTACAGTTTTTTTTGTACTCTTTCCTGAGTCTTCAACATGTTTTATATTTATTTGAATAAAGTTATCCATTTTACAATGTGCAATTTAAATAGAACACACTTGAAATCAAAACACCGATTCATCAACACTTATAATCAACGAAAACAAAAGACTGAACGAAAGAGCGGGAAATTGGAGAAGCGGAGTGATAAGACGCATGCGCCGCACACTCACTCACTCACTCATTACGTCATGTGCAGGCAACCGGTGGGTATCGTCTCACGACTCCCCTATGATAGCGCCGTGACTCCCCAGGGTGTCGCGACGCACAGTTTGGGAAGCCCTGATATAATATCAAGTAACATTTTTATTTCCAGAACTCTGATTAGATCCATGTGTCTTAATCTTAGCACTTTACTTTGCAGGATTTTTACATAGCCATTGCTAATGCTTTCAGTGGCCTTAATATACTCTTGTAGCTTTGAGATATAGGTAGACCTTTTCATTATAACAGAGTTATCAGTTTAAACAAAACTATGATGCAATCCCCGACACCCTGCAATTCTTTGCATTCATAAAGATGCACAAGCTGGGCAATCTCCTGCACCAATTGTGGGGTAAATAAAGCAAGATCACCCACAATTGGCTTAGAAATAAAAATATACGTTCTACTTGTGGACTACCTCAAGAATTATGAATTTACCATCCAAAACTCACAACAACTAATACAGAAATTAAATGCACATAAATTATGCAGTGAGAAATACGTTACAATTTTTGATGGTTTCCATTGGTCAGATTAGAATCATGCTTTTGTGCACTAAAGAATGTTTTATGTAAAATCATACCATTATTGCAAGCACACATCCACCAAATTCTTTTATCTGGCCAATTCCTATATTACACCTTAACTTTAAAATTCAGTGAGTGGAATTTCCTGAAAAAGAAAGGTGTAACCATCACTCGCTGTTGTGTTGCTTATGAAATGACAGATGAGTTTCAATGGGTGACTACATGAAGTAATTAAATCTTTGATTTGTGAAAAGTTTTGTTAAGATTAAATATGTTTCAACATTTAAAAATATTTTTTTTTTAATTTATAAAGTCATATTTAAGTAATCAAATATATCATATAGTGTTTATTACTATACACTAATATGAAAACTAATTAAAAATATATTGAAGAAACTAAATTCGTCTTCATATCTCTTTTAATTATAATCATCAGTAACAGTTTTACTTTACAGAGGTGACCTTTTATTAGAGGCTATGCCTCTATAAAAATATGCAGAACAGTTTAAAAAGTACAAATAGAAAACTATTTGTTTTTAATTTTTGGCATTATACCTGTTTAAACTGTTTTGTATATTTTTACAGAGACATAACATCTTAATAAAAGGTCATCATGTAAAGAAAGACTTTGTTCCTGGTGATCTTAAGTGACAAAAATGTGAAGTCAAATTTAGTTTCTAAAGATATTTTTAATTTGTAAAATACCATCAGCCATTTTAATCAATGCAAATTAATCTTTTGGTTTGAGAAATCGTGTTGATGGGACAATTTGTAGAGAATGGATTATTCATTCAATTTTTGGAATTTTTCTGCATCTGAAGTTGATTATGTCTTTATTCTGCAGGAAAATATATAACATTTTGAAAGCTTTGCAAAACAGGTACTAAAATAAAGTTATATTTAGAGTATAAAGACCTAAAATAAAGGTAACAAAGAATTTACATGCGATGTTTGTATATGGACAAGTGTGGGGTTCGGGGGCCGTAAAAGGTTTATTATAATGTACTTTTTTAGGTAGAGTCCTGCCACCAGGTGTGTTTTATCGGACACACCACCGTTTGTGATGAAATGGATGATTAAGGCGCGAGGGTAAGAGTCACTCTGAAGTCCAGGAATGAGCCTCTCAGGAGGAAGAATGCAGAGTCAGATATAACCAATTTAAGGACATTTATTAACATAAACAAAAGTTTAGAACATAGTTATACAATCTGAATTTGGAAATTTGCCTATTTTTATCTATACAACGAGGGGGGTGCCTAACGGGGGGTATTCGAACTTACGCGACTCACAACATACCAGATAAACAAGATGTCTTCTCTTGTGACGTGGACTTGACGGCCAAGACTGCGGAGGTTTCTGGCGTTCGCTGCACTTCGTCTTGTGCTTACTCGTTTTTGAGTTGTCT